TTTTTTTTTTTTTGGGTTATAATTTTTTTTTATAATGTATATGGATAAATAATTTATAAAGTTTATTTATTAAAGATATGATAAATGGATGGAAAGGCATATAAGCATAGTAATAAATCCTTAATAGGTAAGAAATGCTTATTATTATTTAACATAGCATTAATTTAAAGATTTTAAATATAAAATAAAAAAATTATTAATTTCTATTATATAGAATAGTTATATAAAAGGTTTATAATTATAAATATTAATTAACTCTATAATAAATAAAATAAGTATAAATATATCTATTTGCTCTTTATTAATTTACCTTCTGATTTATTAATTGCTTATTCTATTACTTTTCTAGCATAAAACAAATAAATTAATAAAGAGAATGTAAACTCTACTTAATTTAATTTTAATTTTATTAAAATTTTATTTAAAAAATATTTATTTTTATTTGTCAACATCAAATAAGTTATATTATTTAATTATTTTTTTTTTTTTATATTAATTTACGCATTACTTTAAAATACAATTTTTTTAATATTAAATTTTAACATAGAAAAAAAAAAATATACACTCCATAGCAATCTACATCTTACCTGAAAAAAAAAAAATTTTTTTTATTAAGATTGCATTATTCATATTTTAATAATAAAAAAAAATATTATCATAATGTCTTTTTTATAAGTCAGATTCATACGCCAAAAAGAAAATATATATATATATATATATGATATTTTTCTTTTTTTTTTTTTTGAAAATATAAATACATACACATAAAATTATTATTTATTTATTTTTTTTTTTTAGTGTACATACTTTTTGAATGACTATTTTAGTATATTTATGGCTGCATTCTATTCCTGTGACTTGGCATGCACAACATAAAAGGTTTTTTTATTCTATTATGTATCTAAATATAATACTAAAGAGATATGCAATATTATTTATAGACCAAAGATAGAGATGATCAATGTTTTTTCATTTAAATTTATTTTATAAAAAAAAAATAAAAAAAATGTCATTAGAAAATAATGTAGTTTTTTTTTTTTTTTATAGGTGTTCATTTTCTCAAATACATTACATGCACAATTAAACTTATTCTTACTTCATACAATTTAGAATTCAAGTCTCTGATTTTCTTTATTGATGAAGATCTGTTTACTCAATGTAGAGATCTTTAATAATTTTTTTGTTTATTATTCTAGTAAAGTCAATGATAACTAATTTAATAATTTCATTTTAAAAAAAATTTATAACAATTGGAAAAATCAAAATAATAGGATGTAAACAAATTTCTATTTTTTTTATTTATTATAGCATTAATTATCATTAATTATAAATAATTACTAATGAAATATACGATTTAATTTAACACAAAATTTATTTTATTCTTAAAAATTATATTTATATTACTTTTTATAAATATCATTTATATGATTCTTATTATTTATTCTCTGTTTATGTTATCTTATAAATAACATAATTATTATTATTCACAACACTATGTATATTTACTACATAACATTAAAAGGAAAATAATTAAAAAAGTATTTTTTTTTTTTAAAACTAACAATAAATAAAAAAAGATTCTCATTAGCGTATATAAATATATTTATATAATAATTTTTTTTTTTTTTTTTTTCAGCATATGCACATTTTTTATTAGTTGCCTACTCAATAAATTTTCTGTAGTAATGAATAAACATATTAAAAATGAGCATGTAGAGCTGTCTCTACTAACTTAATTAATTTAAGTATACTCTTAAACATTATAAACCAGTAAAATGTATTTATATAACATACTACATTGAGCATTTTTTATTTATAAGAGGTATTTATTTACTTTAACAAAAATCCTATATTATTATTAAAAATTTAAATCCTCATTATTGATTTTTCATTAAATGTATCCTATAAATAATGTTATAAGTAATGTTTAGAAGATAAAATATATTTCTCTAAAATTAACAAATATAAATAATTATAGAATACAAAGTAAATTATATGAATACTACAAAACAAGAAAATTTTATTATTGTCAATGTAAAGTTTTCATATAGAAATTCAAGTAAAAATTCACTGAAAAAAAAATTTTTATTCAACTTTTTTTTATTAACCCTCACAATTAAATCATTTAAAAAAAAAAGTATATATCCTTCACGAATTTTTTTATTTACAAAAAGAAAACAAAAAAAATTAATAATCAATACTATTTTTTTTTTTTTTTTATTTAAGACTTGCATGGCTAATTATTTGTTTTTCATATATCTATTACATTTTATATTCAATAAGGTTAATAATGTCTTTTATTAACCACTATTAAAAAATGCAATAAAGTATATATATTTTTAATACACGCACTTTTAGATTACTACAGTTTAGTATATGAAAATTAATATGCATATTATCCTTATATATTTTACACATATAAATCTCATCTATATTATATGCCTTCATAATGTAATTTAAAATTCTGCCAGTACAATTTATTGATCACAAATCTAGAATATTTCAGTGTGTATTTTAAACATACGTGTATGAAGAAAATAATTCAATTTTTATTAACAAGATGGATTAGTTATATACATTAAATAAATATTATAACCTATCTAACATAGTCATTATCAGTATCTCCAAAGTTTTTTGCATTCAAAGAATACAATTATTATTGTGATGAACTCAATGAATTAGTAATTTTTTCTAATTGAAAAGTTATCATAGAATTTTTTACTTATTTTTTCTTTACTATTTATTAATTGATAGTTCAAATCCTTTTGCAATATATTAAATAGTCAAATTGACAAGGAGCACATGGGTAGATCTCCACTTATTTTATTTATTATAAAATTATTTATAATTATTAATTACATAATCTTCATATATACACACTAATCAATAAATTCTTTTAAATACCTATTTATGTTTGTAATAAAAAAAAATAGAAAGTAATTAAATATTTACTTGTTCATCTAAAATTTTTAAGGAAGATATAAACTAAAGTATTTGAATCTAAACATTTGCTTAGTATTAATAATTTTAACAATAAAAATAATAGAATACATTAAATAAATGAATTTTCTATATCATTTTACTTTTATTTTATAATTAAATTAATATTACATCTTATAAAAAGTTTTTTTTTAAGTTTTTCTTTTTATTTTTAATCGTAATATTTTATTACACAATTTTGTGTTATTCCTTATTGCATTTCAATTATTGAATCCTTGAAATATTAAAGCTAATATAAATATTCTCTTGGTTAAATTATTTAAAGGAGCTATTTTTTTTTTTTTTTGTTTTACTAGATTATTGGAAATTTATATGATAGTACATTATAAAATATTTTAAAAAAAAAAATATATTTTTTTATGTAATTTTATTTAAGAAAATAAACATTTTAATGAAATACTATAGAAATAAGAAAAAAAATTGAGAACAACAATATGTAGATTGTTTCTTTTTTATTATATGTAAAAAAGTAAATAATATAATGATTTATTTTATAGGAAAAGAAAAATTTCTTTCTTAATAATTCAATAATATATAAATATATATTCTTTTACAATTATAGTTCTAAACTATATTTTATATTTCACAATTGAATATTAATATTTTCCATTGAAATAATCATCGTAAAACATAAAATTAAAATATATTACGCATTTAAATGTTGTTATAAATTTATTATAAAAATAATATAAAGAACAAAGGAGTTTATAAAATTATAGATAAATTACTTATATAATGTTATTATAAATTTTAAAATTAACATTGAAAATTTTTTATAATAAAAAATAAGAGACAAACGATGATCATAATAGTATTAACTTAAAATAAAAAGAATAAGCAATAGGATATGATGTAGAATTAATATAAATATTTATATATTCTTTCTTTTTAGATTCTATTCAGTAATATTAAATTAAAAATTGAGATGGGTATGTCTCTTATTTCATATAAAAATAATGGCATTTAAAAATATATATTTGAAAAATAATGTAATACGTTAAAAAAAAATATAATAAAATTAAAATAAAACGATTTGTAAGACGTTTATATTTATGTTATGGATGTAATATGATACAAAAAAACAAATTTTTTAACATATTTATAATTACTGTTCTTTTAATTTTTATTTTGCATTAAATTTAATGAAATATAGATTATGTCGTAAAGGAAGATTATTTTATTTTATTTTATTTTATTATATTTTTTTCTCTTTTTTAAATTTATATTTTGAGACTGGTACTCAATTTTATTTTTTATAAATGATTATTTTTTATAATTTCTTTATTATATTCATATTGTATTCTAATATATTAATATATATAGCATGCATTTTGTGGATTGTATTCATAACAAAAAAAGACTAAAAAAAAGAATAAAATATGATGTCATTTGTTGTATTATATCATTTCATACAGAAACGTATGAACCGAACAACTTTAGTGCATGTACATCTTATATTTTTTCTATATAAAATATAAAGTTATCTTTAGGTCGTTACATATAATTATTAGGAAGCTTTATCGTGCATATTAATCTATTTATTTTGTGATCGACCTTATTATTTAGATTAAATATTCAATTCATTCTTTATATGTACTATCTCACAAATGGTCGAATAACGTCTATTCTTGTGTCATACGGGATAAAATTAAAATAAAAGAAATATTTCTAAAATATTTATTTTTATCATTAAGTACATTATTTGTGTAACTAAAAAGAAAATAGATAAATATATACGTTTAATTAAAAATCATGGTAGCATGCGATTAAAAGTAAAAATAAAAAAAAAGGCAAAAATTAAAAATTTAAATTATTTTTAAAAGATACATTATTTAAAAATATTAAAGAAAATAGATTTTTAAAAATAAATTAAATTAAAAAAAAAAATTTTATGAAAACCTTTAAACAAAATAATTTTTATTACTACATTCCTAGATAATTTTATTTTCTATACCAAAAATATATTTTCTCTTATATATATAAAATTCATTTTTACTTATATGAATATTATTATAAAGAAAATATATGACTTATATTTATTATTTTCTACTATAAAAATGAATATCTCAAAAAAATTAATTTTTAATTTATTATTAATATTTAACTTAATAGGATTTCTATTTAATGACAACTTCTCATCAAGTTCATTAAACAATGTGTTATTAGTAAGAAATCATGAATTAAGGGAAATAAAAAGAAATCTTGCAGAAATGATTCCAAGTACCTCATCAGAATATGAAAAAAAAAGTAACGATGGTGCAGAATTTGGACCAAGAAGATTTATAGATGTATATGTACAAGCAGAGGCGGATGCATTCCTAGAATTATTAGATACTTTACGTTCAAATTATGAAAAGAAAGATGAAACTATTAATGAAATGGATTCTCTCCTCAGAAGTATTAATTCTAGATTTAGTTCTGAAGGCATAAAATTATCGTTTGACGGATTGATGGATGTACATAAAAGAGTAGCAGAACGTGCAATGTTTTATGTGTCAAATTCAACACCTCAGATGTTTGACTTATTAAGAAATATTATTCAGATTGAATCACAAATATGTATAGAAATATTGCAAACTATAATTAATGAAGATAAAATTATTGATGAAGAAATAGTAAAATACAACGAAGTAATAAGTGCACTCCAAGGAAAAATAGAAGAATCGAATCTTTCTCTAATTGATGTAAAACTAAAATCCATAGCATTAAGAATACATGATTTTATTGAATGTGCTGTTTCTGTTTACAATAGTAGATTCGCTAATGCTGTAGTGAAAAATGAAAATTATGTGAATGGATATATTGGTATAGAGAAAATAGCGATGGACAATATATTTAATTATATTTGTAATGTTTGTGGTAGAAAATGCACAGAAGTCTACCATAACCCAAAATTTGTATTAAACACAATATATGAGTTATATTTAAAAAATAACCTTACGTTATCATTTGAGCAAGTCGAAAATATATATACTAGAATAAGAAAACGAATTACTTATTTATCCAAGAAAAGATTAACTAAAAAACTTATATTACATATAGATGTGTCTTATAGTGTTGAATTTGAATTGGCTAAACTTTACACATTTCAGGCACTTCAAAGCACTAGTGACGAAAATGAACAGAAAAAAGTAGAAAATGTAGATAAAATAAGAAGAATGACTGAAGAAAAATTACGTTCACATCGTTCTCAAATAGAAGGTCGTGAAATAGGTAGAATGGCAGGTAGGATACAACAAATTGTTTTTGATATCGTTAGCTGAACATTCTTAACTTAAAATATTAATGAAATTAAAAGTCAATCTGTAGTTTACTGAATGTCTGTTAAAATAATTACGTAATATATTGATTTCATAATTGTAATTCATTGTTATGGCTAATAATGAACAATCAAATTAATATAGAGCAAGCAGAGATAGCTATACTTGTTTGCTGTTTTATCAAATTAAAATATTAATCAAATTATTCATTTCTATAATTAACAACATAAATTAATTAAATCAGTTAATTACTATTAATGCTAATTTACACAATATTCCGTGTAAATCATATTTTACAATACATTCTTAATTATTCATAAAAAAAAAATATTTTTTTTTAGATGCATATTTTTTATTTTAAAAAAGAATCATCGTAAAAATAAATTAACATATATTTTTTTTCAGTGCTATCAAAAAAAAAAATATTTTTTTTTTTTACATGTACGTTTTTAAGTATTCAAAAAAAAAAAAAATGTTTTTACTTTTTTTTTAGTGTGTTTACTTTTAGAGTGAGTATTTTATTTTAAATGTACATGTTTTTAGTGCAAATAGATATTTTTTTTTAGTATAGGTACCTTGTATGCATATTTTTCTTTGTACGCGTTTATGTGTGTACATTTCACCACATTTAAGTATGCACAAATAAAAGTGTTTTTACTTGTTTTTTTTATATATGTATTATTTAAAATAGGTCAATAATACCACTAATAGACCATATATTAAACAATTTATTAATAATATTTAATGTTTTTGTTGTAAATTAAACAATAAAATTAATTAAAGACTTGTAGAGGGATATATATTTGTCTTATTAATTATAAAACAAATTATTAAACGTAAAAATTTTTTATGTATTTATTCTATATAGTATATGGAATTTTAATATATATTATATTTTCAATAATATTTTATCTTTCTTAAAGAAAAACAATTTTGGTTATTAAAAATATAAATCATATAGAATAGTGAAATTACATGAAAGAACATTCCATTATTTTTTTTGCCTAATTTATAAAAAGGAGAACTTTTTTTATAATATATTTTTTTTAAAATGAATAAATTAATACTAGTGTATTTTAATACACTTATTTGATTAAAGATATCTTTGTACATATATAATTAGACCAATACCGTTGTATGCATTATTCATATATTTATGTATATTTCGATTATCTAGTATGAAATAAAAGCATTTATAAGTAGAATATTTCTTAGTATCAAAGATTTAGAAAGATAAATAATATCTATTGTTATATAAAATTCAATTCATAAAATATTATGTAATGTTATATCATATAACTTTCTTTATTACAAAATTACTTATTCTATATAACGCATGACTCTTATATATTATACAACATAGCATAAAATAAATAGTTTTATAAAAAACTTACAATACTTTTAATAATGTATGTCTTTTGTTCATTCTGAATACATCAACGGCAAATTAAATTATTTCTTCTAAATATTTAATTAGGCAAAAATATAATGTTACGTATATTAAGTTACATGTATAAGATATTTAAGAATATATATAAGGATAATAAATAGGATTGATTATCTCTTTTTAATTGTATTAAGGAAGAATCAAAAATAAATAATGTTTTTTTTTATAAAGTATGATAGGAAAATATCCATATTGAAATGAGCTCAATAAAATTAAAAATATAAAAAGTTTTTGAACTATGTTATACTCTTTAGTAAATATATCATTTAGTAAATGCTTGTTTAAATATTTTTACGTATTTTCTACTGTCAATTTAGGATTAAATTATAATAAAATCTCCTCTAATTGTTAAATAGTCACTATAGATATCTATAGATTCTTTAAACAATTACCAACAAAATATAAAATTATCTAATTAATATTTTATAATTTTTCTATAATTACATTTTTCATTATTTGTTATAAGCAGTAATCTTTATTTTTTAACATAAATTATTCACACAATGGTTAAAAGGAATTATTAAACTTTTTGAGGACTAAAATAACTAGCCATACGGAAGATACGCAGTTAGCCATGCTGATGCTAAGATAAAAAAAAAAAATAAAAAAATTTATTAATTTTTTTTTTTTTTTTTATAAATTAAATACGTAAGAAGTGTATTTATTTCTTTTGAGAAAAAAAAGGAGAAATTAATAGTTGATAAAAATATATTAAAAATATTAAAAGCAATTTGTTGACATAAAAGTTTTTTTATAGTGAAATTTTATTTTAAATTTAAGGGGAAATTTTACATACATAATAATAAAGTTTTCATATTTGTAATGTTTTCGTAATTAAATTTGCATTTCTTTAATTACTTACGCTTTTAATTTGAGAGTAATGGATTTGAGTTGATAAGTATTAAAAATAACATTATAAATAATATTCATATAATTCGAATCATTACTTAATGATGATTTAAATTTTTAATAAAAATAGGGATTTTCATTAAAGTAAATAAATGCGCATTGAAAATAAAGAATAATCAACGAAGACTACATTAACAAAATTTACCTCTTTATAAAATTCAAAATTAAACGTAAATTAGTTAGATTAGTAGAGGCAATTCCACATGCTCTTTAGTAATTTATTTATTTGAAACTTTAATAAAGTCATTGAAGAGACAATAAATCTCACGCATAATCATCAAAATAAATAAATTATTCATTTTTTTTTTTTTTGAATAATGATTTATATATGGTATTGATGATCTATTTAAATGATATTAAATATATAAACTAAAAATATTTTTATGTGAGTATACTAATCATGTGGGAAAAATATGTACTTCGAAATGAATACATATAGATAGAAAAATAAGAATTCTTTCTTTTTTTGGAGAGAGCGGTGAGAAATTTTTTTATATACAGAAAAATTAAAAATTCAATGTTAAATAATACATTTATATTGTATTGTTTAATTTGACATAATAAATGGCGAATGGGATTAATAAATAGGATTAATTAACAATAATAAGTAATATGCATAATAATTTATTTTATTTTAAATAAAATAAATAGATTTTTTAATAAATGCTCTTTTTTAATTTAATTGTTCAATATTAGGAATATAATTGATAAGGTATTTGATAAACATGTATATATAAAAATTCATTAAAAAAAATATTAATATATTTTTTTTTTAAATTAACATAAATATAATTCATTATAATTATATTATTATGTATATATATGTAAATATGTTTTAAGATACATTTCTAAAGATGATTATTTTAAAATATTTATCTTTATATACAAAATGCAGTTATATTTTTATATGCAAATATATATATATAAATCTTTAGAAGGTCTATTATGTACTAATAACATTTATACATCATCCTTATTGTATTAAATTTTTAAACAGGTAAGTAATATGTTTTACCGGTTGGGACATTTAAAAAAAAAATAACTTTTTTTTCTTATTGTATATGTATGTATTAAAAAGCCTACATAATTATATAAGTGACAAATATATTTAAACTCATTCATTGTAGTAACTTATTAAAAATAAATTAAAAACTTTATATTTTATTTTTTTTTATTTTAGAAGCCTTTTGCTTATTATGTGTGATTTATAGTGTATGAAATTTATTGAAATTTCAACGTATTATGTTAATTTATTAGTTGAGTGCTTAATAATATTGCTGACATGAACAAACAAATTAATAGAGAAAATGTAGAGAAAGCTTATTAGTTTTCTTTAAAATAAAATAAAATGGTATGCAAATTATTTATTTCTGTTAATATAAAATTTTAGTTATATTAGCTATTTATTACTTAATTTATACAATATACCATAATTATAGTATTAAAAATTACATTTTAAGTGCTTCAAAAATAAAAAAACATCGCATTCAACCGAAAAAGAAAAAAAATCTTTTATGTTTACTTTTTTGTTTAAAAAAATAAAAAATATAAAATCATTATAACTTTCTTTTTTTAAAATTTTTTATTCTTAAGTATGCGTTATGAAAACAAAAAAAAAAATACAATATAGTATATTTATATATTTTTTCATTTAATATATATACTTTTGATACAAAGAATGTTTATTAATATATGCATTTAGATGTGCATAACATTATTTTTGTGGTGCATACGTTGATTATTTAAAAATTAAACAATAAAGTTGTCATTGACATATTATTAAAAGTTATGCATGTATAATAAAACATATTTTGAAGGTAAAGTAAAAGATTTGTTAAATTAAATATCATTATTGTTTATAAATAATTATCACTCATAATAATTAATATTATAATAAATAATGATAATAGAGACATTCTTGCATAACCACTATTAACTTGGATATACGAAACACTATAAACATCTATAGATTAACAACTAATAAATCGAATGTATTAAAATTTTATGCATACGATTTATCAATAGCCTATTCAATGATTTAGATAGAATATCAAAAAAACATATTAATAAAGAGCATGTGGATTCGTGTGTATTAATTTAATGAATTAAATAAAATTTTTAAATGCTATAAACGGGTGAACACCATTTATGTAGTATACATCATTGAATACTTATTATTTTTAAGAGAAATTAATTTATTTTAATAAAAATTCTATATTTTTATTAATAATATAAACCCTATTTGATTATTGATTTTTTATTAGTTTTGTTTTACTTATAATATTATGAATAATATTTAGCAAATCAAATTTAATGTTTTCAGGTTAACAAACATAAGCAATTAATGAAATAAAAATTAAATTATATAAATATTACAAACATGAAAATTTTATTATGGTTATTATAAAATATTCTTATATAAATAGAAAACAAATATGCTATGAAAAGCCATCTAGTCGGCAATACTTCCTTTTAATCCTTCGACTATTAAGTCATCTTAAACATAAATAAATATATTTTTTTACATCTTTTAAAAACAAAAAAAGAAAAAGAAAATTAACAATATTTTTTTTTTAACTATCTCTTTTATTACCAACTGCTTATTTTCTATACAGCTATTAATTTTTATTCTTGATAAGGTTAATAA